CTCTCTCTCTCTCTCTCTCTCTCTCTCTCTCTCTCTCTCTCTCTCTCTCTCTCTCTCTCTCTCTCTCTGTGTGTGTGTGTGTGTGTGTGTGTCAGCTGCTCGGCCCACCACAATGCGAATGTATCTAGTCCATTGTCTGCTTTTCGGGGGATCGGTTCTTGAGACCGCTTTCGGGGTTGCAGCGTTGAATACTAGTCGTGGCTGGCTTGTCAATGGCGTTACCATCCAGTTTCGGACGATTGCCTTCTATTCTTTGAGTCTGTTGTGTCAGAAGCCGGTTCTCTTGGGTTTCCTCCGGAACCCGTCAACGCGTGTCGTTCTCTCTGGGTGGGATTTGGAGCAGTTGCTTCGTTCGTACATGGCAATTCGGTGTTTCAAGGAAAAAAGGTCGCGGTATCTGCTGCGTTGTCTGCTTTCCGGGGCTGTAAGAAGGATTTTTGGTTTCAACGTTCGTGCTAGACTTGTCATTCGGCTTGCTTATGATACTCGGGTTGCGAAAAACGAGCTTCGACTGTTGTGTGGGAAGTTGGTGAGAGCGCTGGACTTACCTGTATGCTTGCTCGAAATGGTCGTTAGAAGGATGAACGTTGTGTGGACAAAGAATCGGAGTGTTGGCGACGTCCTGTTTAATTTTCGAACTGCTAGTAGACAACTCGAGCATGTTTGCTGTTGCAATGCTGTGGGGGGATCTTTTCCACGGGTAGATGGGCATATATGTTTTCGCTCGTCTGATTATGCTCCTTTCCCTTCCTTTCTGAAGAACGCTAGGAATATCCCCTGACCTTCTCAGTCTACCTCGAGAAGGACTCTGGTCAAACAGTTGATTGCCTCTTGTGACTCTCTCGCTTTTCTGCCAAAGATTCAGGAATAAATGTTTGACAAAGTGGCGGTTGATGCATGTTTTAACAAAACGATGATTGAGCCAGGGGTGGATGGGTCTGGTTTGGCAGAAGTCTTGTCTTGGAAACGGCGGCTGGGAAATTTGGTGGGTTGTCCAACTGATCATAACATGGGCGATTCTCTTTTCTGTTGTCCGAGTGTGTACAGAGGAAGTCTGGATACACTTTTTCTGTCAAATGCTGGTTTTGAGCACGTGAGTGATGAGGTGGATGTTGTACGGCAGTGTGGTGCTATGTATAAGCAGGAAGGGTTTGGCTGTTTAGGAAAGCGGAACGATAATGGGGAATTGGGGAGGGCGTATTCTATACCTAAGCATAAAGATATCACAAGGTGGCGACCTATCTGTCCTACCTTTTCAGAAGGAGGCGTGACTGCGAGTAAGAAGGTGGCGCGTGCTGTGAACCAGCTGTTGTGGGATTTGCCACGGGGAACTAATTTTAATTTAAAAAGTATGATCGACCTGGCACCCACCCTGGGGCGAATGAATGAGACTCTTGGTAGGGATGAATTCTTTGTGAATGCGGCTCTCGACATCAAGGAAATGTTCTGTAACCTCCCCCACAAGTCTATTATGGAGGCGGTAAGATGGGTTATCGACTTTTGGGTAATTAGGGGGTGCAAGGGCGTTTTGGTCAAAGCTCGAGGTAAGGGGGCCAAGCTGAGGTTTGGGAAGACCGAGGTAGGATGGAGCTCGATATCGTTGAAAGTCATTGTGGACTTTGTTTCTTTTGAGCTTGGCTCCACATATTTCCGGGTATGTGGACGGGTGTTGCAGCAAAAAGTTGGAATTCCGATGGGTAAGGCATCTAGCCCGGCGTTGGCCTGCCTCCTGTGTGCTTTTAACGAATTCATGTTCTTGACATCATTGGGATGTGACCAGGGGTTGGTAAATGGTGTGCGTATGGTTGACGATGTTTCTCTTATGATCCGCTGTAAGAAAGGGGATACGACTTCCATCTTGACTGCTGAGCGAATTATGGACAGGTTCAGGTCTTGCTACGATGACAACCTTATTTTGGAACAAACGAACGATGGCGATTGTTGGGATTTTCTGGGCTGTGTTCTTAAATCTCTTGGTTGGCCATGGGGGTTACAATGTGTGGCCCTGCATAAGAATCAACGGAGTTACAAAGAGGAGGTGTTGAGGTTTCAGAACCTGCAGGACTACGACTCGTATTCCAGTAAGCAACAGAAACTGGCTGTGATTGGGTCCTGCCTTCACAGGGCTCGGGCGTACACTACGATGAGAGGAATGGAGGTAGCCTTTCTGTTCACCTTGAAGATTGAGCTCCGGAAACGGGGTTTCCCGGACAATTATTTTGACAGCAGCCTGAAGACGTTCTCAAGAAAGTTTGCGGGGGTGTGGGACCACTGGGTGGTTGTTTTGACGGGCCGGGGGAAACTTTTTGCTGGCTTGGCAAGGCCTGCTCGGGCATGTATAAAAGGGTGACTGGCCTCTGGGGGGCTTTTTTCGTTGCTACTTAATCTTTCGATTAGGATTCTTTTTTTTCTTCTTTCTCTTTTTTCTTTTCTCTCTTTTTTTTTTTTTT